CCCCAAAACCCCAAAACCCCAAAACCCCAAAACCCCTCTAGGCCATTTAGTAATTGAAATATTTGTAATGAGTAATAATCCTAACTAATTCTAGCTTTCTGAGTTTGAACAGATGGATAGGAATATATCGTCATGAGACCTTCATCGCCGGAATCTGATCAACAGGTTCTCTCCAAGAATAGTGTCAGTAAAATCAATGTTTGTTGTGCTCTTTTGCATATATGAGGAATCATTTTTGATCTCCTCTAAGTCAAGTATAGCTATCTGAGAAGGCTTTTTGGTGATTTTAGGAATAAGATCATACTTAATCTTCTCATAACTCGCTTTTGAGTCAAATAATTGAGAGCTTCTTCAACTAGATTCATTTATTAACTTAATTTCCTTTTCCTTCTTCTTCAGCGGGCTTTCAAAGCATGAGTCTAGCAGACTAGTGCTATCATATTGATTTGAGATATCTTCAAAGATTTTCGAAGAGAGATTACCTACCTTCTCTTCATATATTTTATCAATAGGGTATCCTTCCTCAACAGCCAAAAATATCAGATACATCAACCTCTTCTCATAGAGCTGTGAGTGCTTTAGCTTATTTCAACATTCTGTCAAACTCATCGTTCAGGGATTTGTTCCTTCTACAATAATTAGATATGGTGGATATTCCTGGTACTTACTCTTTTAGTTGTTTATTACTGTCAGCACTATCTATAAAGTGTTAGACCTTCCATTGATAGTGAAGCCTACCTTCGAGTTTGCTGAGTAATTCAATATTTTCTTGAGTGGTCTTAATCAAATCTTCCTCTTTCCTCTTCATCTTTACTTGTAATTGCTCTAAATGACTTGATTGCTCAGCTGCCTGCTGCTGGACTGACTCCAGCTGGTCTTGAACAGATGAGAGGTGAGCAGTCAGCTGAGAAAGTTGGGATTTTAGAGAAGAAAGTTGGGATTTTTGTGCGGTCAGAAGGGTTTTGATCGAGTTTTGGACCAGATGTAGAAACTTGGAACCGTTTGAGTCTGCTCTTTCCTGTAGAAGTTCTAGACCAACTTGGAAAGCTTCTAAAGATCAACATTTTGTAATCTACCAGTTATTGGATGGTTTTCAAGTTTTCTGAGTAAATAGAGAGGTATAGACACCATTATTTGACAACTACAAAATTTCCCATCTTTTGAGCATTTACAACAAGCTTCTGAAACATTAAGTCCAACTTCTTGTGGAACCTGTAGCACAGGGGTCGCTCATTCTGTAGGATTTGTGGCATTTGGCCTAACTATTTGTTTGCTAATCGACCTGCTCAGACTTTTGTACCCAAAGTTGCAGTCTGGTGTGGACGATCGGAATTTATATCTCCTCTCACAAGCACTAGCAGAAATCTTCCTCGAGTAGCAAACCTTATTTCCTGAATTTTGACTAGGACTATACAAACAGGGGTTAAATGTCTTATTTTATTTTCTGAGGGTATTTAAAACTCTATATCTTTTAAAAATCAACTATTTTCTTCCTAGAAGTAGCATTCATTTCCTTCTATAATTTCCTAAGCCATTCAGGACATCTCAGATTCTACCCTAAGCCTACCTCTTATTAAAGTGACGACTCAAGGCCAGCCTAGAAATAATCAACCATGGAGACACAACCTTTTTGAGTGCTTGATTCTTGATTTTTTACTAAAACTTTTCCTTGAGTTTCAGGTTGCTAATGGATCTCTGCATTTCTTTTCCTATAAATTACCTATTGGCATACTTTGTTGCTTCATATTAGTACTCTTGGATACGATTATTTTAGTGAGCTTATTTTATCCTCTTCTTGTTCTGAGGTTTATAGGAGCTAAAGTTCAACCCATTTTCGGAGTTATAGTCCCTGACCTCCCCTCTAGAGTTTAGGTGCCTAAGTTTCCCAATTTTAGTCACGTTTAAGTTGATTTTAGCTTCTGATAAGCTGATCGAATCTGCTTCTAGATAAAGGATTAGGAAAGTAACCCTATCATGCACGGTTTGGAAACAGGTCTGGATATTATTATAAATATGTATTAACCAAAAACTTTCTTAAGTGGGACCGAGTCATATTCATAGAGAGGCTAATTACTCAAGACTAGGATTTCTTACTACTAGATTGCTTCTTTAGAATCAGAATCTGGCTTTTCATATTTTTCACTTTCTTGTCCATAATTGTTATTCAATTATATTGTAATGCTTTGGGGTTTTGGGGTTTTGGGGTTTTGGGGTTTTGGGGTTTTGGGG